ATGGCCACAAGGCCTCACACAGGCTAGCAAGCTAACAGCTATCCATCCATCCATCCATCCATCCATCCATCCAGGATGAAGACACCCTCACGCATGCATACTAGCTAGCTAACACACATATATTATTCGGCCACTGGAGCTTGCATGCTCATCCGGCTATCCACATATATACGAGGCCAGATGCCTACGGCACTGACCTCAGATACAGCTCCAAGAGCATTCTGTACCAGATATACTCAGACATGCAGGAGTAGGGGCGTTATTTCTCCGGAGAGCCCCGAATCTGGGTAAACCAGCGCGTACTACTCGCATACCCGTCCCTGGATATTCCGGCAGCGGTCTTTCCCTCATACTCAAGCCACCTTGTGGTATCTCTCGTCTTGCATCCCCCGTGAGAATACCACGACAGTTTGGCGCCCACCGTGGGGCGGTACTATGCTACCGCGCTGCTGCTATTTTCGCAGTTCGGGCGGGACCATCTTTGTCATCACCGCGGCGTCGCCGCCGTCTCTCCGGTAGCACTCGGAGGCCTGACGTCGACGCGCCCTCGGAGCGGCCGCGAGGGGCGGCACGTCTCGTCTTCACCACCATGGCGTCACGCCGTCTCTCCGATAGCGGTCGGGGGCTCGACATCGGCATGCCCCCGGAATGGCCGTGAGGGGCGGCGCGTCCTCACCGTCGGCCTTGCCTTCTTCACCACTACCGCAACACCGGCCGTCTGTCCGCGCGCGGGGCCTCGCTTTGGTCGGCCATGTTCGTCCATGCATCGCTCGTGTCTGCTTTCCTCCGCGTTGCGCCTTGCTCCGGCCGACACGCACGTCCGCTACTCCATATATTATCTATGCTAGCTGGCTAGATGTGAGTCAAACCATTGTTAAACCATTAGCCAAACACGCATCAGACAATGACCATACATTAGTCAAAGACTACCCAAACAATCTCCAGAAATATCATGGTCTCTTGTACCAATGCTGCTGCACTCGCTAGCTACGGCCATGGCCTAGTCCTGTGCACGCACGCACCGGCCGCATGCGTGTTGGTCGTGTGCGGGACTGCACATGCGCGCATAGCCGGCTGCTTGGCCAGCCTTGACCGGCTTCCCACCACGGCGTATACTGGATCAGGCCGCCCGGCTCCGACCTCGTCCAACTGCGTTCTGCTTCAGCTGTTGCTCCGCGGCCCGGCTGTTGTGCCGTCTGTCCGCCTGGCCTCGGTCCTCGCTGGCTGCACCTTACCTGTCGCACGCGCCCAGCCTGCTGTGCTCCTTATGCGGTCGCCGACTGCTCCATTCGCGCGCGCTTGTCGTCCCGGCCGGCTGCTGCTACGCACCCGCATCCGTGCGCCTCCGCGTCGCGCGCCTGGCGATGGGCCTGGTCGCCGTGCCCCTCCGCCTGCGTGCTAGCTCGCCCAGACCGCCTCCCGCGTGTCATCCGTCGCCCCCGCCTCGCTCCTCCGCGGCTCCGACGGGCTGGCCGGCTTCCCCGAGCTCGAGCCCAGCTCTCCTTCCCTGCGTGCTGGGCCCGGCCGCACCTCGAGCGCCGCTGCCAGGCGGCCAACTGGGCGGGCCGCCTCACGCCGCGCCGGCTGTCACCTCGGCCGCCTGCACCGCTTGCTCCGACCGCCGCCCATGCCGGTTGCCGCCCCGGCCGCCATCTTCGCGCCGGCCACCCGCGCCTCCTCCGCCTCGCCAACCCGGCCGCCCCACTCCACCGCCGGGGCTGCACGCTGCAGCTGGCCCAGCCCCCTCCGCTCTGGCCCCGCCAGGCGCCGCGCCTCCGGCCGGCTCCGCCAACCCGGTCGCCGGCTTCAGCCTGCACCCGGCGCGCGCTGCTCGCTGCTGCCGCCTTCTGTGGGCAAAGAAATGAAAGGAAGTCAGACTCCGGCTGCTGGCTCCAAAAAAAAACCGAGATGCCGGGTGGAGAAAAGTCAGTGGTTGGATGCTAGAAGAAGGAAAAGATAAAAAAAAAAGTGTGTGTGCATCCGGCTGCTCAGATCCAGCTAAAGAAAATGACGGATGCCCACGGTCCACTTGTGACAAAAAAAAGTAGAGGTGTGTGCATTCGGCTCCCAGAGCCGACTGAAGAAAAGGCCGGATACCCACATTCGGCCAGCTGACGAGAAAAAGAAAAGAAGACAAAGTAGTCGTCGGGAGATCCGGCCCGACTGCTCAGCAGTCAGCCCGAATCTCGGGGGCTACACCTAGCGGGTGCACTGACGCGCCCCGTGAAAAAGAAGACAAAGTAGTTGACGGGAGATCCGGCCCGACTGCTCAGCAGTCGGCCCGAATCTCGGGGGCTACACCCAATGGGTGCGCTGGCGCGCCCTCACGGAAGATTGCAAGAAACAAAAATAAGAGACAAGAGAAGAGTTTTGTCCGGCTGTCAGCAGTCGGCAGAAGAGAAAAAGAAGAAAATGGGCGCTGCAAGACGCCTCGCCACCTGGCCGGTCGAGCCTGATCGGCCGGGACTCCCCTTCGAGCACCTGGAGGCTCGAAGGTTGCACCCAGCGGGTGCGCCGGCGCGCTTCGCAAGCGCCGAGCCGCGCCGGCTGTTTTCAGCAAACTCCGCCTCGGCTACACGAAAACCAATGTGAGCTTCTCACCCGCATATTTTTGCACCACGCAAGCACGGATAACCCCGAGCGATACTCGGGAAACTATCTCCGCATTTTATTACAGTTGCATCACTGTTCGCCCCGGCGCCTGCCAGAGTTGGCCCGGGGGCTAGCCGCTTGGCCTGAGACGTTAGTTCCCGCAGACGGCTTAGTAGCGTGCGCGGTACCAAAGGCCCACTCTTAGTAACAGACAGCAGAGCGGTTGTCCGACTAGCAAGAATAAACGCTGGAGGCCACCCACGCGAAAAACGTCCGGAAAGAAAAACGGTTCGGGTGACCCGGCCATTTCCTTTACAAGTATCTACTCGGTCGAATCTGCTCCTAGACTCTGAGTACTGTACACTCCACTTCGTGGCCCACTCTCAGCCACAGACCGCAGAGCGGCTGTCCGGCAAGCGAGAGCACAAGCCAAAGAGCGAAGGGAACACGAAAAAGATTAAGGGGGCTTGGACGAAACCGAGTCGGCACCCTCCGCATAAAACTTGCAATGCTAAAAGTATTCATTTGATATATCTACGTGGACTAACTTTGTCTTTTGCATGATCATTTCCGCGAACACCCACCAAAAAACCTTCGCCCAACTTTGCCAAGTTGCCCGGAGGCTTGGGGGCTACTGTCGGAGTAATTGGCCATGGATACCCCGAAGACGGCGAGACAATAAATCAAGACATCAGGGCTAGCAAATCCCATCAGTCCGACTGCCCGGCCACTCCTGCCGGCTTCCCGTTTGACTGCTCTGCCCGGCCGGCTGCCAGCTGCCGATTGCACCAACCAGCCGGCTACCGACAGCGCCGACCAGCCGGCTGCCGACTGCAGCCTGACCCGACACTGACAAGACGGACACTGACATGATGGCCATACCGCGGACAAGACGACTGTATCCAGACACTGCTGAGCAATAGTGATACACTATAGCAGGTGTAAAATGTCACATCGTTGTCTCTCAAATAGTGAAGTTGGTCACGTGAGCCATCCCTTGTCCCTTGGGCTCCCCTTTATAAGGAGCATCAGGGGAGGCTCACACACACGTATGGCCACAAGGCCTCACACAGGCTAGCAAGCTAACTAGCTATCCATCCATCCATCCAGGATGAAGACACCATGCATACTAGCTAGCAAGATAGCTAGCTAACACACATACCATTCGGCCACTGGAGCTTGCATGCTCATCCGGTCATCCACATATATACGAGGCCAGATGCCTACGGCACTGACCTCAGATACAGCTCCAGGAGCACTCTATACCAGATATACTTAGACATGCAGGAATAGAGGTGTTATCTCTCCGGAGAGCCCCGAATCTGGGTAAACTAGCGCGTGCTACTCGCATACCCGTCCCTGAATATTCCGGCAGCGGTCCTACCCTCACACTCAAGCCACCTTGTGGTATCTGTCGTCTTGCACCCCCGTGAGAATACCACGACAATTCCACTTTGGGCCAGTGGAAAAAGGCAACTAAAATGTTCAGAGAAATGACAAGCCGCGGTCTTGTACCAAATACTGTCACTTGGAACTCATTCATGGCCTCCCTATGTAAGCATGGAAGAAGCAAAGAAGCTGCAGAAATTTTGCATTCCATGGCTGCGAAGGGCCACAAGCCTGATGTTGTCTCCTATCGTGTTCTGCTCCAAGGGTATGCTACAGAAGGGTGCTTTGCAGATATGGTTGATCTCTATAATTCAATGGCAAGCAATGGTATTGTACCCAATTGCCAGGTTTTCAACATATTAGTTGATGCATATGCTAAGCGTGGAATGATGGATGAAGCTATGCTTATATTTACTGAAATGCGGGGACAAGGACTGAGTCCAGATGTATGAACCTATTCAACTCTTATATCTGCACTTAGAAGAACGGGTAGGCTGGCGGATGCCATGGATAGATCTAGTCAGATGATTTCTATTGGCATACAACCAGACGCAGTTGTTTATTAAGCTCTAATTCAAGGTTATTGTACAGTTGGTGATTTGGTGAAAGCAAAGGGATTGGTTTCTGAAATGATGAACAGAGGTATTCCTCCTCCTGACATTGTGTTCTTTAATTCAATATAATGAGTAGTCTATGCAAAGAAGGAAGGGTTACAGATGCACACAGTATCCTTGACTTCGTTATACACTTTGGTGAGAGGCCTAGCATCATTACATTTAGTTTGCTAATTGACAGATATTGCCTAGTTGGCAAGATGAAGAAAGCTTTCGGAGTACTTGATACCATGGCCTTAGTTGGCATTGAGCCTGACCGTCCTCATTAATGGCTGTTTTAAAAATGGAAGGATCGATGATGGATTGACCATATTCTAAGAAATGCTGAAGAAAGTTAAACCTACAACAGTTACATATAACATCATATTGGGTGGGTAATTTTGTGCTGGGGAAACAGTTGCTGCAATGAAAATGTTCCATGAGATGATCGAAAGTGGAATAACAGTGAGCAGTTCCACATACAGGACAGTCCTTGGAGGACTTTGCAGGAATAGTTGTGAAGACGAAGTGATCACCCTGTTCCAGATATTAGGAGCAATGAATGTGAAGTTGGATATTGCAATACTCAATACCATGATCAATGCAATGTTCAAGGTTCAGAGAAGAGAAGAAGCAAACGATTTATTTGCTGCAGTATCAGCCAGTGGATTGGTACCTAATGCTTCTACCTATGGTGTAATGATAAAAAATCTTCTAAGAGAAGGATCAGTGGAAAAAGCTGAAAATATGTTCTCATTAATGGAGAACAGTGGTTGTGCTCCAGACTCTCGTCTTATAAATGACATCATCAGAATATCATTAGAGAAAGGTGAGATTGTCAAGGCTGGAAATTATATGTCTAAAGTTGATGGCAGGAGCATCTCACTTGAAGCTAGAACTACTTCGTTGCTGATACGTCTCTTTTCAAGTGAAGGGAAATATCGGGGACAAATAAATTTGCTCCCTGTAAAGTACCAATGTTTCGATGGATTTAGTTGAGCACTAGACAGAAAACCATTGTTGTGGTTTGGAGCTTCCTCTCAGTGATGTTGATATGAGTTCTCTTCCATGTGCTCACCAAGATCGAGCTTGGCGTTGGTGGCTTGGTTCCACCATGGTGTTTTGGCCCAACGTTTGTGGCTGCTAGGTGTGCATCCTATGGACATTGCCCCTAGTCTGCACGCCATGTCCATGCTCAAGGTTCACATCCTCTCCCTGAATATGCCAGGGATGTTTGTACCCCAAGGCCTTTTTTTATTCTACTGTTGCTGTTTTAAGATCTTCATGTTTACAGTTAGTTGCATGTGTTCAATATCAAGTTGGATATCAAATAATCTCAATACATTTTCTTGGTGCAGGTGTTTATGTTATGATGTATGGTCTTATAATCTGGAAATAGCTCTTGCAGGCATGCCTTGACGTGTTCTTCATCATGTTTGCTAGAGGGAAAATGTGGCCATCCAGTCAGTGAATTTCGTAATTTCCTTCTCTGCTCAACTCAAGTTGCAGCTCACTTAAAAACCTTCAATTCATTCCATATGATGTCGCATGTGTTGTTCTTTTTTATGATATATATTTATTTGGAATTCAATCTAGTACTGTGAAATGCCACCCTTCATTTGACAGATAATAGTTGACTCTCAAGTTCTGCACCTGCATCATCCAAGCACTCTCATTTTTTCTTCCTTGGGCAAAGTTCTTTTTACAATATGCACTTGTGTCATCCAACCACTCTCAAGCTTTCTTCCTTGACTATGCACCTGTGCCATCCAAGCACTCTAAAATGATTTCCTATTGATCACATGTTCTTATGTTCCTAAGCCCCCCCCCCCCAGCATGTGGGCGACACGGGGGTTTCCCAAAAC